TGATCCTCCTGCTTCAGCCTCCCAAAGTGTGGGGATTACAGGTGTGAGCCACTGTGCCTGGCCTTAAAATGTTAAACATGGAGTTATCACATAACCCAACAATTCTACTCCTTTATATCCCAGAGAGCTGAAAACATATATCCACTCTAAAGCTCGTGTATGAATGTATGTAGCAGCATTATTCATAGCAGCCAAAAAGTGGAAATAACCCCTATGTCCATCAATTGATGAAGGTGGTATATCCATACAATGGAATGTTATTTGGCCATAATACACGCTATGTATGAAGTACTCAACGCGGATAAACCTTGAAAACATTAAGTGAAAGAAGCTAATCACAAAACACGTTATATGATTCATTCCATTTATAGAAAATGCCCAGAACAGACAACCTACAAAAACAGAAAGTGGGTCAGTTGCCTAGAGCAAGGGGGAGGTGGGTGGGGTAATGGGGAATGACTATTAATGGGTACAGGATTTCTTTCTGGGTTAAAAATTGTTCTGAAATTAGACTGTGAGGACAGCTGCACAACCCTGTGAACTTACTGAATTATATATCTTAAATCAGTGAATTTTATAGTATATGAATTATTTTTTCTTTCTTTTTTGGGGGGGTATGTGAATTATATCTCAACAAAGCTGTTAAAAAGAATCCTTTCTATGTGAGCATTAACTTCTGCTTTCTGTTTTGAGACAGTGCCCAGGCTGGAGTGCAATGGTGTGATCTTAGTTCACTGCAACCTCTGCCTCCTGGGATCAAGCAATCCTCCTGCCTCAGCCTCCCGAGTAGCAGGGACTACAGATGCACACACCACCATGCCTGGTTAATTAAAAAAATTTTTTTTGTAGAGACAGGGTTTTGCCATGTTGCCCAGGCTGGTTTCAAACTCCTAGGCTCAAGCAATCCACCTGCCTTGGCCTCCTCCCAAAGTGCTGGGTTTACAGGCATGAGCCGCCGTGCCCAGGAGCATTAATGTGTTAAGGAAGTAGTATGTCCACTTAAGGTTACAGGTTTAATTTTTTTCTCTTAAAATTACATTAATAATATATTATTTTAAAATGATAATTGTACTTATTTGACGCTTTATTCACACTGTGCTTACTCTTTGGTTACATGAAGTAGAAGATATCCAGATCTGGACATGAAGACATCATTACATTTTTTTTACTAGTCACTTTTTTTTGATCATGCACAACTTGGACATGTGTTGCATTCTACTAGAAAAATGTCCTTGGCTGGGTATGGTGGCTCATGCCTGTAATCCCACTACTTTGGGAGGCCCAGGCAAGGTGATCACTTGAGGCCAGGGGTTCGAGACCAGCCTGGCCAACATGGCGAAACCCTGTCTCTACTAAAAATATAAAAATTAGCTGGGTATGGTGGTGGGCACCTGTAATCCCAGCTACTTAGGAGGCTGAGGCTAGAGAATCACTTGAGCCTGGGAGGCAGAGGTTACAGTGAGCTGAGATCACGCCATTGCACTCCAGGCTGGGAGAAAGAGGGAAACTGTCTCTAAATAAATAAATAAAAATAAAAATAAATACATAAAATAAAATAAAAATTTCCTAACCCTAGGTGTGAGTTTTTTCAGGCTTAGGGTCAGTGATAATAATAGAATGGCTACATTAAGATTTTTCCACTTCAGACAATACAGTCAGGTATTCACAGATCCAAGGCAAAAATAAAAACAAACGAGAAAGTTTCCCAAGGACCAACAGAACCTAACCAGATGTGAAACCAAAGACAGGAGTTACATACAGAATGAACACTGACAACTACATCTCCCCTAGATTCTAATCAATCTCCAAATGAGGCCGGGCGCGGTGGCTCAAGCCTGTAATCCCAGCACTTTGGGAGGCCGAGGCGGGCGGATCACAAGGTCAGGAGATCGAGACCACAGTGAAACCCCGTCTCTACTAAAAATACAAAAAATTAGCCGGGCGCGGTGGCGGGCGCCTGTAGTCCCAGCTACTCAGGAGGCTGAGGCAGGAGAATGGCGGGAACCCAGGAGGCGGAGCTTGCAGTGAGCCGAGATCGCGCCACTGCACTCCAGCCTGGGCGACAGCGTGAGACTCCGTCTCAAAAAAAAAAAAAAAAAAAAAAAAAATCTCCAAATGGACTGCCAGCCCTTTCAATTTAGTTATCGCATCACTCTCAGTTATAAAGTGTTTTCTACTTACAACTCCAAGAGAAACCAATTGGCTTAACTTTAGTTTAAGTCACTAAAATTGAGTGACTTTCCATTTTAAGCTTGTCAATGATGACTTCACAGCTATGTAAATGTTCGAAAGTAATTCCAGTGAGTTTTTCAGAACAATTTTCCCTTACAAATTGGGGCTGTGTATGTACATTTGTAAACACAGTGTTTTCTTCAACCAAGCAGTTTATCTTCATGATTCAAACCCCGCTAGCCTTACAATCGCCCATTTAGTGTTTGACTCCCTTGTATACATAGTATGCTTTAAAAATGTCAATCAGTGATTTAATTGTCAAAGATAAACCTTCCTAACAATATTTCTAAGAAATGCTATAAATATCTCAAAGAGTATTGTTGGATTAGAGGAAAGGACAGGCTTTGGAACCATGCAGCACCTGAGCTCAATCACAAGTAACAGCACTCTATGGGTCTTGGTTTCCTGTCTGTGCAATCATGATATTAATAAACACTTTGTTACATTCTTGTGAAGATTAGGAGTAACAGATAAAAAGAATTTAGCGGCTGGGCACCGTGGCTCATGCCTGTAATCCTAGCACTTTGGGAGGCCGAGGCGGGTGGATCACGAGGTCAGATTGAGACCATCCTGGCTAATACAGTGAAACTTTAGTAGAGAGTAACACGTCTCTACTAAAAATACAAAAAAAAAAAAAATTAGCCGGGTGTGGTGGTGGGCGCCTGTAGTCCCAGCTACTTTGGAGGCTGAGGCAGGAGAATGGTGTGAACCTGGGAGGCGGAGCTTGCAATGAGCCGAGATTGCGTCACTGCACTCCAGCTTGGGTGACAGAGTGAGACTCCATCTCAAAAAAAAAAAAAAAAGATTTTAGCACAAGGTCATCAGACACTGAATAAATGATATCTCTTACTTTTATTATTTCAAGGACTTTAGCATGTGTGATAAAATAAAGATTTGAAGTGAATTTCTTTGTGGTTTTCTGAAAACTAGATCAGCACTACACCTCAGATGGTTTACTACGTGCTTAACAACAATTTTTTTTGGTTGAAGAAAATAATTTCCTCCAAATCCTACAGTGACCTGTCATGTGTCTTTCTCAAAGACAATGGACCAAATTCGGTCCAAATGGACAACTGTCCAAGTCTAAGTGCTTTTAAACCTCATAATGATCTATTACTAATGTGTTTTGGGGAAGATCTGAGCTAGCCTTCTACATTTGCAAAGTATCACCAATTGCTCTCTCCAGCAGCCTAGTTCTAAATTTCAATGATTTCACTCAATAGCATCTCTAGTTGCACATTCATAATTCAATTATCTTTAAAGACCTGTTTTTCCATTATACTGAAAGATTCTGCAGCACTATATGTAAGAAGAAATTGGAGTGTTTTCACATTTCAGGTTTTAATTTGTATCTAACAGCCAGAAGGAAAAATTGCTACCAAAAAAAATCCCCTCTAAATGACTAAATTTAGTTTTAGAATTAAATGAATTAGTTGGTTTAAAGTATTTAAGTCTTATATATAAACAAAAATATTTACATAAGTATGTTCACAATAGTCTCACCCCATTAAAAATCAGCATTCCACATTTTTTAATGAGTTTAATTTTGGGAAAATTGACTTCATGTTTTTCTTTGCCTCCTTAAAAATGTGAGGAGGACTACTTACTAGCAGAGGCAATAAAGATGAGTCAATTAAAGATACATAAATCATCAACATGTTAACCTTAGAAAGGTACTACGCAAGGTCTGCAAGACAGGTCTTAAATTATTTTAGAAAATGTATCTTTATTATATATCTGCATAGCATTTAAAATAAGACAGGATGGCAAAAGGTATAGCACAAACAACTTATAAATGCTCAATTGTGTTACATCAGCTTCAAATCCTTCCCCTGCATAAAAGAAAATGAGGAGAGAAATTTTCTGATTCTTCTAATTTCACAAAGCAAAGTCAAATCTGCTAACTCCTTTTCAATGAAGCCCATAATGACCCCTCTATCATTTTGCAACTGCACTCCTTCTTAATCTCCCAACATTTTCCCTATCCTCACATGGTTCTTAACATTTTCTAATATAATTCGTTATGATGTTTATTATTTTTATGTTTTATATTTTGTAGAGATGGGGTCTCATTCAGGCTGGTCTGAAACTCCTGGCCTCAAGCAATCTTCCTGCCTCAGCCTCCCAAAGCACTGGAATTACTGGCGTGGGCTACTACAACTGGCCTTCGTTTTTTTTATTTTTATTTTTTTGAGATGGAGCCTTGCTCTGTTGCCCAGGCTGGAGTGCAGTGGCGCAATCTCGGCTCACTGCAACCTCTGTCTCCCAGGTTCAACTGATTCTCCTGCCTTAGCCTCCCAAGTAGCTGGGATTACAGGTGTGCGCCACCACACCTGGCTAATTTTTGTATTTTTAGTAGAGATGGGGTTTTGCCACATTGGCCAGGCTGGTTTCGAACTCCTGACCTCAGGTGATCTGCCTACCTTGGCCTCCCAAAGTGCTGGGATTACAAGTATGAGCCACCGTGTCTGGCTGCATCAGGCCTTATTTTTTATTTTCTGTCCCATACACACTAAAATGTGGGCTTCACAGGGCAGGAATTTTTGTTTTGTTTTCTGTTGTATTCTGAATACATACAATAGCATGTAGCAATAGGCAGGTGCCCAATAAATAACTGAATTGTATGAATATACATAACAGATAAGAACAACAAGTATATTAGTGTGCCACTTAAGAGATTAATTCTCCAGATCAGATCGAGGACATTCCTGATTAAGCATTTAAACATCCCACCACTTCAGGTTACTCAGCTCACTTAAAGACCCTACCTGCCTGAGTGCGTTCCTATGGCCACCACTGTGCCACTTGGATGAAAATCTGCACAGTGTCCTGGTTCCTAGAAAAGAGACAGACAGCTGTTGGGGAGTACATGAGAAAGTCTCCCTAGATCTATGGGGATAGTGGCAAAAACATCTGAAAATAACCTGTTTCATATAAACATAAAATTTCCATCAACTTTGTAGCTAATGAGAAATAACACGCGGCTATCAGAGGAAAAAGAATTTCAGAGCATGAAGGGGATATGCTGGCAGAGTGGTGAGGGAAAGGGACAACCAGCTTGTGGCTAGGGAGTGGAACAATAATAAGGATAACAACAACAAACACTGGTACAGTTCTTTAGCATCCACAAAGAACCTGTATCCACCTTTTGGGCTAGAGAAGGTGGATGTCTGGGTTGGGTAGAGAGAAAATACAGTAAGAGACCACTCAGAAAGAAGACAGTACAGCCTGTTAGTGAGTAGCACTTACTGAATCCAACTGCAACGCCACCCGAGGCACAAATATTTCCACAATAATTAATGCTATATAGATATGTGAAATCTTTATGATTTTACCACTGAAGCTGATGGACAAACTGAGCTTTTACGCTGCTAACTTCTTATTTATTTTTTATTTTTTGAGACGGAGTCTCGCTCTGTTGGCCAGGCTGGAGTGCAGTGAGCGTGATCTTGGCTCACTGCAAGCTCCACCTCCCAGGTTCACGCCATTCTCCTGCCTCAGCCTCCCGAGTAGCTGGGACTACAGGCGCCCGCCACCACGCCCGGCTAATTTTTTGTATTTTTAGTAGAGACGGGGTTTCACCGTGTTAGGCAGGATGGTCTCGATCTCCTGACCTCGTGATCCGCCCGCCTTGGCCTCCCAAAGTGCTAGGATTACAGGCGTGAGCCACCATGCCCGGCCTAACTTACTTCTTTAAAATCGGTTCATGTTCACACTTTAAGACTAAACACTACCCTCTTATCTCCACCCTCTTTTACTAAATCATATGTTTACATTGGTTTGAATCAACACTTAGTCCTTTTTACTCTGCTGCTCTCAACTTTCAGTGTGAGGAGTTTCTGTGGGGAGGTTAATAATCACATCTTGCTTCACTTACATCTACCAGCCTGGTCCATTCCAGCCTGTGTTCCATTGAGTTCCACAGGCACACCTGCCTGTCCTGAGCACATGTCAAGAGCAAATCTTTGAAGGGATGTGTAGCAAGACCCCAAAGCTCATCTGTATGACCCTGAAAATGAAAGACACTCATTGCTATAAAAACCAAAGAACATAATAAAAAATACTCAGTTAATGGTTAGTATCACACAGCTTACCTGTACTTCTATTTGGAAGCCATCATTAAATGCTCCCCGTAAAATAAAGTTTCGTGATGTGCCTACTAAAAATTGATCTGCCTTTCCTTCTGCTACAGCTCTGATTGTGCCATACTGATCAGGAACCTAGAAAAAAAAGTGTAAAGTCACCATATACATACTAACATGCATTAATTACTACTCGAAGCCTGCATTTATAGCTATAAGCAATTATGAGGTAATTATGACAAAAGCCCAAATTTGAACATGGTAATCTTGTACTACTAATAATTTATTTGTCCAGATAATTACATTTTATTATACTGAAGTTATAATAATTATCAACACTCTTTGCTTCAATTAATTTTAAACATGTATTTTACATGATTTTAGGAGTTAAGGGTTAAGAATAGGGAAAAAAGGCTGGGCATGGTGGCTCACACCTATAATCCCAGCACATTTGGAGGCCAAGGCAGGTGGATCATCTGAGGTCAGGAGTTTGGGACCAGTCTGGCCAACATGGTGAAACCCCATTTCTACTAAAAATACAAAAATTAGCCAAGTGTGGTGGCAGGCGCCTATAATCCCAGCTACTCAGGAGGCTGAGGCAGGAGAATTGCTTGAACCCGGAGGCAGAGGTTACAGTTAGCCAACATTGGGCCGCTGTATTCCAGCCTGGGCGACAGAGCAAGACTCTGTCTCAGGGAAAAAAAAAAAAAAAAAAAAGAAAGAAAAATGAAGTAAGTTCTATTAGATCACATGAAGAATGTGGTTGGGTTTTGTTACTTATTAGTTATATTAGTTACATTACTTTGGGTAAGTTACTTAGCCTAAGAAACATTTTCTGTAATATGAGGATAATAATACATGCCCTACCTACTCTTGATTGTTGTACGGATCAAAATATAAAAATATTCTCACCACAAAAAAATGACAAATGCATGAGGCAACAGATATAATAACTACCCTGACTGGATTACTATACAGCAGATCTGTATCAAAACATCAGATTGTATCCCATAAATATGTTCAATTACAATGTGTCAATTAAAAAAATGTAATGTGGAATTTCTTTGTAAATTAAAAAACAATATATTGTAAAGTATTATAATAATAGGACTCCTTGGGAGAGCAGTTTCGTTTAATGCAATACATGGAACAATCTCAGTGAACGCTGTGTTAATACATTTAATAATAATCTCAAAGAATGATTTTGAAATAATGAAATTATAAATCCCACTTTACAAAGTGGGATCTAAAATTACTCCTATAAATACAAATAACTGAATTCTAAGAGTAATTCAAATTTATGTTAGAAATGGGAAAGGAAGGAGTGAACTAGACTGTATAGCTTTTAATAACAAAGGATATGAGTTATCTGTGAAGAAAATAGTGATGGAAGTTGCATTTTCAGTATGAACTGAAGGTTGTGATTAAGCAACTCTTTACTATCCATCTTCTTGGAAATAAAATCCAAGAGCAGTACTATCAGAATCCTCTTTTTAAGAGGATTTTCCAGAAGATTTTCTCTGGAAAGAATGTTACATGTAGAAAAAAAAAACACTAAGCATAAATCCAAAATATAAGTCACCAAAAAAGAGAAGAAAAATTAAACTTTGTGACATTTGCTCTGGTTTTAACAGGCAAATTATTCTGCCTAATCTTTAAAAATATTCTTTCAAATTATTTTGTTTAATGGTCTTTAGTTTTTTTTGAAAAAAGTTATCTTAAAGGCAACAGCAAACTCCTTTCTTGAGGGAAGGAAACGAAATTATAAGAATTTAATAAGTTTGCCAGAAAAGTGTAGTTATCTTAATGTGGGACAAAATACCTGAGTTTAGAGTATTTAATATTTTTATATTCCGTTTCCATCCTTACCTCTATTTCTCTTTCAGGATTCAGATCGTGATCCCACAGAATTATTTTTCTGTCTTTCCCTCCTCCAGTTAATAACATCCCATTTCTCATCTGACAAAGTGTGAACACACTGCCATCATGAGCTTTGATTTGTTTGCTGATTTGATATACACCTAATATGAGGGAAAAATAAAAACACTAGTGATAATACTTTTCACCAGATTTTAGTGTCTATTTGGAAGAAAACTTCAGTAGAACTAGAGTTAACAATCAGAATGTTCTATATGACTCAATCAAAAACCTACTTTCAGCAAGTCTGTGCAAAGCAGGTAGTAAAGCTTAAGGCATAATATAATCTTCTGCATTTATGTCAATATTTATTTACTCTGAAAATATTTCAAAATATTTTCCTCCAAAAAAACCAAAGCTAAAGTAGTGATAATTCCACAGACAAAAGGGGATATAGCATAGGTTTCCGAACTTTACTATCTCTCATAATCATCTTGTATGGTAGACAGAGTAGGTATTACTCTTCTGATTTTAGAGCTCAAGACATAAGAGGTACAGGAGCAGCTTAGGGGATACCACATAGTTAGCTAATAACAAAGCTGTGACTAGACTCAAGTCTCCCACCATGATGTTCCTTTAACTTTGCAAAAACATCTTTGTTTCCTTCTGAGGTAACAGTCACAATGTTTAACATTGTACAACCACTGTTAACACAGAGGCCTTCTGCTGTGCCAAGGAATACTCCCCTTTATTGCTGAGATACAGGAGCACTATGGAAGTTACTGGGACAAAGGTAGGCAGTGGATACCTGTAGCAGTGGCTTTTGACCTACTAGCAGAGAATAATTTCAGTATTTTAAAAATTAATTCAGCTGTACCAATGTGATGGCTAAATGACAGCCCAGTTTTCTTGTATACCCATAGCACACGTTGTTAAGTACCCAGGGAGTGACCAATGGGGTACATATAAGGTATTTTAGGCAAAACACATGTGGTTTTTAAATTATATTTTGCCCCCTTTTAAGGGTGAGGATAAGATGATAGTACTCATACCTTTTTCTTTGGTATTCATAAATGTCTTCCTCAGAGAAGCTCTTTAGCTAGATAGGCTAGCAGAGCAAGAGTGAAGCTTTTTGGAAGATGATGTCCGACAGAATTAGTTACCAGGTTCAAAATGGGAAGTTACAGCCTTATTGAAATATGGCTAAATTAAGTCAATAAATAGCCCTTAGTCCTCTTGAAAAAATTCAGGTTTAACAACTATTCATTTTCTAAAACTGTTCCTCAACTGATGAATGGATTTTAAAAACATAGTATATCTATATTTAGATATAGATATACTATACAATGTGGTATCACTCAGCCATAAAAAGGAATGAGGTATTGATACATGCTACCACCACATGGATGAACCTTAAAAACATAATGAGAAGTGAAGGCTGGGCGCCGTGGCTCATACCTGTAATCTCAGCACTCGGGGAGGTTGAGCGGGGTGGATCACCTGAGGTCAGGGGTTTGAAACCAACCTGGCCAACACAGCAAAATCCCATCTCTACTAAAAATACAAAATTAGCCAGGCATGATGGCACATGCCTATAACTCCAGTTACTTGGGAGGCTGAGGCAGGAGAATCGCTTGAACCTGGGAGGCTGAGGTTCAGTGAGCCGAAATTGCACCACTGCACTTCAGCCTGGGCAACAAGAGTGAAACTCCGTCTCAAAAACCAAACAAACAAACAAACCAAACCAAAACAAAAACAACTAAGTGAAAGAAGCAAGTCATAAAAGACCACACATTGTATGACTCCATTTATATGAAATGTCCCGAACAAGTAAATCTATAGAGACCTAAAGGAGATTGGTGGTTACCTAGGGGCTGAGGGGAGGGAGAAATGGAAAGTGACTACTAACAGGTACAGGTTTTTTTTGGGGGGTGAGGAAAATGTCCTTAGGTTAGATAGTGGTAATGGCTGTACAACCTTGTAAATATACTAAAAACCACTGAACTTTGAAGGGATACTTCAATAGAGTAGATTTCATGGTATGTGAATTATATCTCAAAGCTGTTACTGAGACTGTTCTTTTTTACTATTTGAGCTGCTATTATATTTAACAAATTAACTAAAATTTCTAAGGCTTTGGTATCCTAAAAAGAATTCTCTCAGTGTGAGGATGCTAGTGGTACAAATACTTAACAGATGGGTATATACGGCAGGGAGACAGGAAAGGGCCTGCTTGATTCGGAGGACAGCTTGCCTAATTCAGCAGAGGTGGAAGTAGAACTCCAACAAATGTGCTGTTCAGGTCAACTGTCTCCACTTACACCAACATTTCTCATCTAAAAATACCTTAAAATTGAACAACACAATTGTGTTCAGTGGAATAGGCAGACAAGTATCTATCTCTGTTCTGATGTGACCATGAGAGTGAGGACACCTGAGAGATGTGAATTTTCTGAGAGTACTACTGGCTTTATTTGGACATTAAAAATAGAGAAAAGCAAATTTTAGGCTTATTTCCCTATGCATGGTCAAACTAACAACAGTAGCCTGAAGGCATCATATAAGAAAACACAAAAAGCAGAGGTGTGGGAGTTTCATAGTTCTCCATTAAAATGTAAGAAAATAAAGTTTTTCTATTCTTAAGTCCACTGTCCATATTTCGAAACATGACAAAAACCTTGTTAAACACTTAAAATCCTCCCAGAATGATGGAAAACTAGAAAATAAAAAATAAATATGAAGAAAAAAATGCTTCATCAGAAATAAAAATACTCTATATAGTGATCAAGTCAGTGAGTCCTTCTCACTCCAGGAAAGTTATTTCCTGAGGTGGACCTAGTATCAATTTAGCTTAAAAAATTCAGTGATTCCAATTTAAACAAATTATCAGTTTCCTTTATATAATATTTACCTATAAAACAAATTTATAGCCAAAGATATCTTTCTTATGGGCCTGTATTTCTGATATTCCAGTTGCCAAATAATGTCTGAAATCCCTGCCAAGCAAAATAATTACCCTTGAATTTAAAAAACCTACTCTGCCTTCAGGCTTACTCATATGGTCAAGTCTATCCAAACTTAATCACAAATCTCGCCCTTCTCATCTCTAACAGAAACAAAGCTTCCATAAAAGTTTACACTGCCTGCCAAATAAAGATGTTTGGAAGGCTTTCTGTGCCTGTTTAAATAATCAAATATTAGGGAGACTTTGAAATTTATGTTGTATTCTTAGCAACTGGGCCAATTTGATTATTTGGAGAACACATAAAATGGCAGTGTTTCTTAGCTCCTTTGCAAGACTTAAGAATAGTGAACATTTTAATGGTTCTGTAGATACCCTCAACTTCCACTTACCCACTTAAAAGATTACAAATTATTTTGCATAAGAACAATTTCAGTCTATTTCATATGTGTAAGAAACAAATAACAAAGACCTCATACCTACTTAAGAAATAGAAAATACTAATTATTTGAAGATTCCCATTAATTTATTAGGAATAAATGGTTTGGAAACAAGAAAAAAAATATAACAGCACTTTTAAGACATAAAATACAGTTTTGGTTTGTCTCCTATTTACAAAAGTAAAAGGATTAGTTGTGAAATTACACTTCTGCCATTTAAAAATGTCCTTTAATCAGACATGATGTCACAGTACACTCAAATTTTGGTTGGTAAGACTGCCACAAGTGCAGAAATGTCATAGTTGGGAATATGTAAATTGGACCTACTGAAATCTGGGAGCAAGAATTAAAATATGGAAACTCTGGGCACTTATTCTGGTCTGGACTTCCATTTATTTCACTGTGCTCACCAAATCCTCCCCAGCCAACTGAAAACCTCAAATTCTTAGCAACTTAACCCATAATAGGGTTAAGTCATGTGGCAAAGTACAAGACAGGCCATTTCATGTGCCCAGCAATTTACAAGATTGGATTTCCTGTTTCCTGTTTGTGCATATGTAGAAAGGCTAAGCCACAAATTTTTCAAAGACCAAAATAAAAACCTCTGAACCTCTTCTTCCTGTCCCCAACCTGAACACAAACATTAACACTAACAAAAGGGTGTATTTATACCCAAATTCTGCTCAGTGTTGGAGATTCGTGAACAATTTAAAAGTCACTGTTTTAATATACTATGCTGTTCCTGGCATTTCTGATACTAAGTAAATGTGCCCAGGAAAGAAAAATGAGAAAAAAAGAAGAGAAATAAACAGGAAAGGTAGTTAATATACTTTCATTGTAACTCTCTTTTTTAAGAACCCTCAACCCACTGCCATTCTTCTCGTATGTAAATTTTGAATCTAAACTGAATGAAAGAGGCTAAGAATATATAGCCAATGATTGTGATCAGGGTCAACGGTAATACAATTTAAGGCTCACTGTTTTAAACTTCTTAATATGTCTAATTCAATTCAACAGCTGAGCTTAGAAATTCAGGTGAATGGATTTGAAAAACATTTAATTCAAACATTAATTTAGTAACAGATGGTCCCTGACTTATGTTGGTTCAATTTATTATTTTTTGACATTATGACAGATTTATCAGGATATAATGCCATCCAGAAGTCAAGGAGCATTTGAATATATGTCCTAAAAAATACAGTACAAAACTCTGTGCAGTCGTAAGAAAATAGTAACATGAAATTTAAATTCCACATTTTGGTGAAAATAGTGCTTTCATCAAGACTATTCAACTTTTGCTCCTACATTGACACCCAAAGTTAAGATGAAAGTTATTTCCTTAATGTTTGACAAATAGTTTTCAAACAGCTAGTTTATGAGTTTATTCCTTTTTTCTCCCCTCTCCCATTTTATCACATGGCCATGCATTCTGCCCTAACAGATAACCCAGAACCAGCTCAAGGGAGAGTGAGCCTCTATACTTTTTAAACTAACATATATCATTTCTTTCTAATTATTAATTTCCTAAAGGGAATGGTTCAGTGTAGTCAAATGTGGATTATATAAGCTCAATAAATAACTGGATAAATAATTTCATTAAAAAAGATTATGAAGAAGGTGAAAACAAAAGGTATGTTTGTGACTTGCTCATATTGTTACACTGCAGCTCTTTCTCTCCTGGTCTAATAGATGGGACTGAAAGAGCACTATGTGAGAATTTTAAGAAGTGAGTTTAATATAAGAATACTGTACCTTTAGGTCCTTTCCCAGGTGTGGGCTCTACAGTAGTTTTGCTCCATATAAGCATGACTCCACCTGAGTCTCCAGTAAGAACATCTCCATTCCCCAAGAATGCTAAACACTGCACAAATTTTGGCTTTTCATATTTCTACAAGGAAACAATGAAAATTTTCAATTTTCTTTTTGCCATGACGACTTGATGCTTACTCAACAATTTAAAAAATTAAAGATTTATATACTTAATGCCATTAAAACAATCTTGATCCTTACCCCAAAAATTCCCTGTTTTCTTGTTAGTGAATTGCCACTCCAGGTCCAGAAGAAAATATGAGATTTACCGCACGTAATTATGGTATTTGCATCTGTTGGGTGAAACTCCACAGCCAAAACAACTTCATTTGTTGTCTATAAAAAGGGAAATAAAACTTTAGATGAATGTATATCCTTATCTTCTTCAAGTATCAATTCAATTACTGCTACTGACAATGATAGGGAAAGATTTTGAGAAAATGCCTCTTCTTCCAAGATAATTTTCCTGAAAAATTTTGATAATGTATTTTTGGGATGATTTAAATTTGATGTCCTTGTATTATTATATCACCTTTTGTGCTACTTATAAAAACTCTGCATTAGAAAGACATTTATATATATATCTTTAACTTTTTGCACATGCCAGAAAAGTACATTTAAAACTATCAAATCTAAGAGCAATGTACATTCTTCCTTAAAGACACTGCTATTTGTATTAAAAGAAAAAAAAAAGAAACTGTCTTATCTTTCTTTGTACTATTATCACAGAGCATTTATTCATACAATTTTTTTTTTTTGAGATGTAGTCTTGCTCTGTCACCCAGGGTAGAGTGCAATGGAGTGATCTCGGCTCACGACAACCTCTGCCTCCAGGGTTCAAGGGATTCTCCTGCCTTAGCCTCCCCAGTAGCTGGGACCACAGGCACCCGCCACCATGCCCAGCTAATTTCTGTATTTTCAGTAGAGACATGGTTTCACCATGTTGGCTAGGCTGGGCTCAAACTCCTGACCTCAAGTCATCCGCCCACCTCAGCCTCCCAAAGTGCTAGAGACTAGGACTAATTTAGAGATAGGTCCTTCAGGCTGAACTCTTAAAAAGTAGATTTAGAATGGTCACTACTGATTCCTACGGAAATGAAAACAAAAACATTCCCAGAGAGCTTTTATGCTCTTTTCCCTCAAAAAATCTAGCAAAGACAGGTTTTAGGTTTAAAAGATTTATGGTGGACTAGGAAGAACACAAGCATGAGACTCAAGAAGAAATTACTAGTTTTTTCATTAAAATGATTTCAATTGAGGATATTATTCTAAAACATTGTATTTCTATAATTTCAGTAAATCATAATTGTTACTAAATTGATATTTTATCTACTCAAACTTAACAGTGAGGTGATACCTACCTACATGCCTGTAAAGCTACTTATTAGCTAGTGTTTATTTACAGAGTGATCATTAATGTCCACTTTTTAACTCAGCAAAGAACTTTATGTGTATGGAAGCATTTCCTCTTGGCAAAACAACATGGGCCAGGCGTGGTGGCTCACGCCTGTAATCCCAGCATTTTGGGAGGCTGAGGTGGGTTGATCACGAGGTCAGGAGTTCAAGATCAGCCTGGCCAAGATGGTGAAACCCCATCTCTACTAAAAATACAAAAAAGTAGCTGGGCGTGGTGGTGGGCACCTGTAATCCCAGCTACTTGGGAGGCTGAGGCAGAGAACTGCTTGAACCTGGGAGGTGAAGGCTGCAGTGAGCCGAGATTGCGCCACTGCACTCCAGCCTGGGTGACAGAGTGAAACTCCATCTCAAAACAAAACCAAACCATGATAAAGATGATAGTCTTATGAACTGAGTTAAAAATAATAAATTTTAGGTTATACCAATAAAATGACACTTGAAAGGGTTGTTTTCAATTCTTTTTTTCCCCCACAGTTCTAATATTTCCATGAGTTTTACATTTCTGTTACTTAACATTTGGGCTTAGGGGCCTTTGCATAAGCACATAAATAAAATTCAACTAATAAAATCTAATCTAGGCCAGGTGTTGTGGCTTATGCCTGTAATCCCAATGCTTTGGGTGGCCAAGGTTGGAGGATTGCTGAGCCCAGGAGTTAGAGATCAGCCTGTGCAACATAGTGAGACCTGTCTCTACAAAAAGTAAATTAGCCGGCGTGGTGGTGTGCCCTGTAGTCTTAGCTACTTGGGAGGGTGAGGCTGGAGGATCATTTGAGCCCTGGAGTTTGAGGTTGCAGTGAGCTGTGATTAAGCCACTGCACTCCAGCCTGGGTGAAGTGTGAGACCCTGACCAAAAAAGGGAAAAAAAAGATGAAGATAAAGTATAGCATATCTTGCTTGTTATATAATTTTCCAGTGATTGAGTAGTATGGAACTATATATATATTTAGCAAGTCTAAGTAAGGTTTAAAGATTAACTGAACAGTCTTTAGTTCTCACTCAGACAAATCAAAACTACTTGACAGTTAAATTTTAGGCCAAATTAAGATAATCAAAGGGTTGTAAAACTAACAACAAATATTCCCAGTATACCCATCATGCTAGTGATAAGACAGTCAAGATATAAACTGAAGAACTCTATGAGTTTAAATCATTTTGCGTATGAGTATTGCCTTACAGGATATTATAACTTCTCACTGATATATAATACTATATATAACATCATATATATAATATATATATAACACTATATATAATATATATGCACACAGATTTTAAGTACATAGCGCAATAAAGTTTTACAAATTGAACACATTGCTATTCAGCATTCAGAACAAGAAACAAAACATTAGTAACATTCCATAAATACCCTAGATCCCCTTTCCAGTCACTATCCCCTTCCCCTATTTAACCATTATCCTCCTGACTCTTAGCAGTAAAGATTAGTTTTCTCTGTTTCATTCAAATGGAATTATACACAATGCATTCCTTCATGTCTGGGTTATTTTCTTAACATTTCATTTGTAAGATCCATTTGTGTTGGTGCACATAGTTGTACCTTGTTCGTTCTATTTGCTCTATTGTATTCTTTTGTACGAAAATATCACATTATTGACTTATCCATTCTCCTGCTGATGGGCAGGGTAGTTTCCATATTTTTGGCTACCATAAACAGCACTGCTATTTGCGTTCTAGCAAACACATGTATATATTTCTGCTGAGATGAACAATTTGGGCCAGAAGGCATGCATATGTTCGACTTTAGGTTATGTCAAATAGTTTTCCGAAATTCATTAAACTGTTCCTAAATTCACTAAGGAACAATCCACAAAGTTCCTAAATTCACTAAAATTTATCTTTCTGCTCTAAAAGTGTCCTTTCCTCCATGTCCCACAAAACTCCCATAATCCAGAATACAGTTGCCAACGCCTAAGAACTGAAGAGATAATATGGTTATATCAACTTATATGCCCAGCAGACTGTGTAAGAGTTCCAGTTACTTAGAATCCTCACCAATCTTAGTATTTTTGTCTTTTTCATGTAAGATATTTTGGTAAGTGCACAGTGGTATTGAACTTGAGTTTTAATTTGAATTTCTTTGATAATTAATGAGGTTGAGTACCTTTACATATGCTTATTAATCACCTGGACACCCTGTTTTATGTAGTACCAGAAGTCTTTTGCTGTTTAAAAAACTGTCTTTTTCTTACTGAACTATAGATGTTTATATATTCAGAACATGAGTGTTTTGTTGGAAGTATGTATCACAAATACTTTCTCACACTCTTAAAGGTGTCTTGATAGGCTGGGCCTGGTGGCTCACACCTGTAATCCCAGCACTTTGGGAGGCTGAGATGGGAGGATCACTTGAGGTGAGGAGTTTGAGACCAGCCTGGCAACATGGTGAAACTCTGACTCTATTTTAAAAATACAAAAATTAGCTAGGCATGGTGGTGCATGCCTGTAATCCCAGCTACTCAGGAAGCTGAGGCAGGAAAACCACTTGAACCCAGGAGGTGGAGGCTGCAGCAGTGAGCCAAGATCACGCCACTGCACTCCAGCCTGGGTGAAAGAATAAGACTGTCTCAAAAAAAAAAAAAAAAAAAAAGGCGTCTTGATAAAGAGAAGTTTTTAATATGATTTATCTTTTTCTCTCATTATAGTTAGTACTTTATATGCCTTGTTTAAATCTACTTATAAAGGTGTTCTGTATTTTCTTCTAAAAGCTTTACTGTTTTTTACCTTTCATGCTAAGATGCATAATCCATCTAAAACAGATTTTTCTGAATGCTGTGAGGTAGGGGTCAAGGCTAATTTTTTTTCACATGAGTATCCAATTAATCCACCACCATTCACTGAAAACATTATTCTTTGCCCACTGCATTGCCACCTTTGGCATTAGTCAAGCAACTGATTTGTGTAACCTGTTTCTATATTCTCTTCCATTGATCTACGTTTGAACCACAATATCTTATAATAAGTCTTCATATTTCATATACTTTAATCTTATTCTTTTTTTGTTTTTTTTTTTGAGACAGAGTCTGGCTCTGTCACCCAGGCTGGAGTGCAGTGGCGCGATCTCGGCTCACTACAAGCTCTGCCTCCCGGGTTGTCATTCTCCTGCCTCAGCCTCCCGAGTAACTGGAACTACAGGCGCCTGCCACCACACCCGGCTAATTTTTTGTATTTTTAGTAGAGACGGGGTTTCACCGTGTTAGCCAGGATGGTCTCGATCTCCTGACCTCGTGATCCACCCGCCTCAGCCTCCTGGGATTACAGGTGTGAGTCACTGCGCCTGGCCAACCTTATTCTCTTTATTCACAATTGTCTTGACTATTCCCTATTCCTTCCCCTTCATATTTCCACATATATTCAGTTTGTCAACTCCTATGAAAGCTGAGTTTTAACTATGCTGAATGTATAGCTCAATATGCAAAACTGACATCTTTATTGTCTCCTATCCATGATTATGTAATATCCCTCCTCTTTAATTTCTGTCAGTAAGGTTTTTAAGTTGCCTTACTTTTATTTTTATTTTGAAAATTAAAAAAAAAATTTTTGAGACAGGGTCTCGCTCTGTTGCCCAGGCTGGAGTGCAGTGGCACAATCTCAGCTCACTGCAGCCTCAATCTCCTGGTCTCAGTTGATCCTTCCACCTCAGCCTCCCAAATAGCTGGAACTACAAGTGTGCACCACCATGCGATGATTTTTTTTTTTTTTTTTTTTGGTAGAGACAAGGTCTCATTATGTTTGCCCAGGCTGGTCTCAAACTCCTGGGCTCAAGCGATCCTCTGGCCTTGGCCTCCCAAAGTGCTCGGATTATAGGCATGAGCCACAGCACCTAGGTCCTTACTGAATTTTAATATTAATTTTTTATTGTTTTTCATGAGAGGTCCCGCAAGCTCGGGTCATCTGGGCTGCCCTCGCCTTACTGAATTTTAAACTTACATAAATTAAAAAGTTATACATCCACTCCTCAAATCTTTGTGACTTAAGCAATGATGGAGCTCATCTACAGTAGAACAGGTCTATTTACAGTAGAATAAGGTCAAAACAGGGAGAAGAGGAGAAGACAGTCAACCTGTAATCCAGCCCCTGAATCAAGGCATTTCTGAGTCAAAATCTCCCTCTGACCTTTACTAGAGGCTTTCTCTTCCTCCCTAAACAGGAGTCAATACAACCTCTGTTTTGATTAAGTTAACTTTATTTTTATTATTTTTTGAGACGAAGTCTTGCTCTGTCACACAGACCGGAGTGCAATGGCGCAATCTTGGCTCACTGCAACCTCCACCTCCAGGATTCAAACAATTCTCTTGCCTCAGCCTCCAGGGTAGCTGGGGTTACAAGCACCCACCACCACATCTGGGTAATTTTTTTTTTTTTTGTATTTTTAATACAGCTGGGGTTTCACCATGTTGGCCAGGCTGGTCTTGAACTCCTGACCTCTAATGATCTACCCACTTTGGTCTCTCAAAGTGCTGAGATTACAGGTGTGAGCAACCATCCCTGGCCAGATTAAGTTAATTTCAATTGTTTTGCAGTCGCTTGTACTAGGAAGTGTTATAATGCAGATATTTGGGACACGGTGTTTAGAGAACTTCCTGACTACCTGGATGTGAGAAGCGAGGTAAAAAGGGCCATGAATGATGTCCAAGTTTCTAGCTTAGGTAGCTAGGTGAAATGCGGTGTCAATCACTAGGGAATGAAACTGGTGGTTGGGGGCTAGGAAAGATGATTAGGTACAGATTTGAACATACTGATTTTCATTTGTGGTAGAGGACATTCAAATAAAGATGTCTACGATGCAACTAGAAATATGAGTTAAACCTATTAGAGATCTGGGCTGGAGATAACTGATACGGGACTCAGCAGATAGAAAATGAGGCCATGGGAGCAGCATATAGTATCAGTGGAGCATCTCGAATAAAACTCTGAAGAACACCAACATTTAAGGTCCTGGAAAGGAGATCAAGAAATGGCCAGTAGGAGGAAAACCACAAGACTTCATCTGGTAAACCTTACTATGAAGAATCAAAATTGATATATTTCATTTTCATGCAACTTCCCTATGTTTCAATGTTAAATTAGTCTGAATAACTGGAAGTCAATCTATATCTTCATTTATGTTTTCTAGTTTGAGGTTTTCTGACAACTTACATTCCTTTTAAGTACAATCAAATCTACTTCTTTCAAAATGTTAAGTTAAACATCATATAATCTTTTTGCCCAACAAGCTAAAAGCTTGAAGCTTACTCAAAACAAAACTGTTAAGAGAGAGGAGTTGGAGAGAAATGTGATGTTATTTAAGAGTATGGCAAATATTACACAGACTTTTTAAAGCCATTTTGTCACTTTGAATCTTTAAAAAAGCCTGTCAGAGGGAGAAGTCCATTTCTGGCTCATATAAACACAGCTTCAATGCATTTTACATTCTTCTCTTGCAATTTACAGCTTGATCCACACAGAGATCAACCCTTGTACTGTAAAGAGTTACAATGCAATTATAGCAATTATAAATGCTATAGAATTTTCTAAAATAATCCTACAAACATAATTAAGACCAAAAAACTTATCATAAGCCCTCCAGTTACATCAGCCATATTCCTACTGAATTTTTCCTCTAGATTTCTAAAACTTTAAAGATGGAATGAAATTACATATTTTATTAAAGAAGAAAACCAAGAAGAGTGTTCAGTCTTAATTTTGAGATCAGACATCCATCTACTCTGGCATTTCAGGACTATAGTAATGTCTGAAATATTGAAATTGCTTCAAGTTGCTTGACTATTTTATCTTGTATAACTATAGTGTTAATATCTTAAGGATTATGACAAATCACTAAATTTGTTGAATTTGGCCAGATCTGCTTTTGCGGCTTAAGAAGAGATTGTTCCAATACCGATATAGTTCCAAATACCTGCAAAACAAATAATGTACTCTAAAAAATAATACTCAGTTTTTTAAAAATTTACCTTTATTTCTGCTCCTTTTGCTTTTTTCTGCCAGTCCCATACAGTAAGCATATGTTCATTGGAGTCATCAATAACACATAAATGAACACCTGAATCCTAAAGAAAAATCAATTAAAGGCATTTTAAAATTCACTGATAGGGCTGACATTCTAAGAAAGAAATACCATATTATTAAAACTGCTAATAGGAAGATAACCCAAAATCCTTTAAACTCATCACTCTTTGAAACATAATGCACTATTTACCACAATTATATTTTCCTCAAAAATATAAAGATTCTTTTAAAAAATGTTCTATTTAAATCCCCTCATCCCTCCATGTTGGTTTCCACTTGCCATCTAGTCACTCCTGTTATTCAGAGATAGTGACTAATTTTGAGGCTATCCTAGTCCCTTCTGCATCTTGTGCTTCCTTCTTGCTGCCTGTATTAAGGTATTTTTCCTTGTGGTAGGTAAGAAGAAATGTACATAATTTCATAACTTTGTTCCTCACTAAATTTTGACAGTCTGACAGAATAAGCTAAAATTCATGGCTATTTTAAAGTTTGCTGATTTCAGTTTTCTGTGAGATATCTGACTTACATTAACACCAATAAACAACCTAAGTAAAATTATAATGAAATTCCTTTTTTATAATGAAATTTCCTATTTTTCTGAAACCATTCTCATTCACGTATTTTAAGTCTCCCAGTTTAAGAAAAATAACTATAGATGATATTAAATGATTTTTTAAATAGTAGCATTTGTGAAATATGCTTTACAATGTTATGGAACACAGAAACATTGTAGGGAAGAGTGAGAGGCACTGAGGAAGGGCAGAGCTTACTCTCTTCTCCTCTTTATCTTTCTCTTAGCCTAAATTGGAATATTATCTGAATTAGAAAAGACAGAGTTATGAGGCAATACAAGATGGTCTTAACACTGTAACAATGGTTATCAACAACTGGACGACAGTACCTGCTGTAGAGATTTATGGGAGAAAATAAAGTAGCAAAAGTATTTCCTTTATGACCTCTTATCTCCTTTTCTAAATGTCTTTCTCCCAATTCCTGACTTGTTAGACCCTTGACATTCAGTGCCTTCAAGCTAGCAAAGTTCCTAAATTCACTAAAATTTATCTTTCTGCTCTGAAAGTGTCCTTTCCTCCGTGTCCCACAGAACTCCCATAATCCAGAATATAGTTGCCAACGCCTAAGAACTGAAGAGATAAAAATAAGTGTTTTTATTTATCTTTGAAATTAAAAAAGTATATATCCTAAAATACAGAAGGTTACCTGTATACTTTATAATCACAATGACATACAATTCAAGAAAAAACCAGAATGTTTAAATGAGTAAGATCTTGTCTTATTTTACCCTTGGAATAAAGCCTCAACACTTAGAAAAGACCGCTAGGGAAAATTTTAAACCCATGTTGTCATCAATTCAAAACCAAGATAATTCATGACTTTAGGAAATACAAAGGTTTGATTGTTTCTGCTGCTCAAATATGACGTTAAGAAAAGCCAATATTTGCACAGAATTGGCCCAGTTTCCTGTGAATTTTTAAAATAAAATAGATCTTTTCTATGATTCAAGGTAAGGCAAAAATACATCCTATTGCTTGTCTAAAATTGTACTTTGCTTTGTATATATTCCTCTAACCACTTCCTGCTACTACACGGGAGCTCTACTTCAAGGCAGCATAATTAAAGTAAAATATCTTGCATCCTAACTAAACCAAAGTACTTTAGCACTCAAGTTGAAATGCTAGCCATTTAGCAATAGGTAATATGTTAGTAATAGCTAGCAGCTCATTTTTCAATTCAGGATTATCGTTTTATGGATACATAAACACACAACTGAGCTTAACTTCTTTCCTGCTTTTTTGTTCAGCTTGCTTACTTCTCTAAAAATTGTCACTTACTGCTTTTGAAAAATCCAGGCATCCTACTCCACGCTCAAAAGTGCCAAGTCCAATAATCTGCAGTGTGGAGAGAGTAACAGAATCCCACACTCTGACGTGGGGTTGTAGAGGCTGCAAAAACACAAGATAGCAGGGCTAACTGGACAGGTGGATGCAAATAAATACCAATAGCACACAGAACTAATGCCATTTAAAAAAGTAATAGGGATGGATAAGCTTCTACTAAAAAATTACTAGACTTAGACATGCCCCCAAATAAATCTTAAGTAGGTATTTTCTTATACTGTGAAAATAACAATAGCAGCAAATAACTTGTGTATTTACTATGTTATACATACTATTCTAAGTATGACACATATTAATTCATTTAATCCTATGAGCTATAGGTACACTATTATAATTATCATTTCACAGATGAGGAAATTGGAATACAGAGATTTAAATAACTTGCCCAAAGTGATACCGCTATTAAAAGGTTGAGTCAGCCAGGCGCAGTGGCCCACCACACCTGTAATCCCAGCACTTTGGGAGGCTGAGGCGGGTGGATCACGAGGTCAGGAGATCAGGACCAACCTGGCTAACACAGTGAAACCCTGTCTCTATTAAAAATACAAAAAATTAGCCAGGCATGGTAGCACACGCCTGTAGCCCCAGCTGCTCAGGAGGCTGAGGCAGGTGAATCGCTTGAACCTGGGAGACGGAGGTTACAGTGAGCCAAGATCGTGCCACTGCACTCCAGCCTGGGAGACAGACTGTGACTCCATCTCAAAAAAAGAAAGAAAAAAAAAGGTGGAGTCAGGATTCTAATTCTAGGCAAATTTGCTCTGGATACTTTGCTTTTAGCATTACTAATCTTCATTCCTGAGAAAATAACACTTTTTAATCAATGTCCAATAAACTACTAAACAGCCCTTAAACAGCATTTGCAACTGGAAGGGGTCTTAGAAGTTATCCAGTAGAAACCTTCCACTCCTCTGAAGCCTGAGAACGTCATGAGTATAGTCATACACACGTTACTCAGTCACCATTAATATTCACTGTTGATCCTTAGAAATAAGGTATTTGTTATACAAACCAACTGAATAATATCAAACAGTAACTGAAACTCTAAGTCGTATCAGTTCTAGTCACATATAAAATCAAGAGTTAGCTGGGCATGGTGGCACACACCTGTAGTCCAGCTACTCACTCAAGAGGCCAAGGCTGGAGGATCCCTTGAGCCCAGGAGCTTGAGCCCAGCCTGGGCAACAAAGTGAGATTCCACCCCTATAAATAAATAAATAATTAAGTAAATAAGGGTCAACAGGTCCATCAACTAAGGGAAACTGCAGTATCTTCTGGCAGACACTGGTAAGTTATTTTATATAAAGAAAAATGTAATGAGCATATCAGTTTTCCCATTTTTATAGTAAATAGTTTAAGGGAGAACACTTATTTTTTAGAAACAAAATTTATTAGTATGACTCTGTCTTTTAAAGTGTTCTTATACACTAATGTTTTTTCCATGCTTATACTAGAAATTCCTCAGTACTTAAATTTCAAAAGAATAAAACAAATGAGTTGTGGTTAAAATTACAATAGATTCCACTCTAACAGCAATGTCTCTAGGTACAGAATGCATAACGCTATGCCACTCACCCTTCCATCTTTATCCACGCCAGCTATCTGTCCAGTTGCAATCCTAATTTTGTCAGGATGTATAGCAAGGCTAAAAAGCAGTATTAAGAATGATTTTAAACACAGGAAACATGAAACAGCAGAATACCTTTGTATCAACATTTTTCAAATAAGCAGTTTTTAATCATTAAAAGAACACATTTATCTGTTTTCTTTAGCAAATCAAACTAATATCAAATATCTGAAGATTTCTGAATTTTCAGCTGTACTTTTTATTTGTGAAGCTGCACAGATGAATGAAACATTAAGTTCAAAGAAAATATTTATTTACAACTGTGGCATGCTAATGAACTGTTTTCATTTGTTCAAGTTCCTTTTTAGTCCATGCACATAGGCATACAAATCACATGACTTTATTATAGTGAAGATGCAATATTGTGCTGTGTAATTTTAATCTATTAAAGTTACAAGCATTTTTTCCTTTTGCTACATAATCATCATACATGCTGACTTGACAGCTCTTCCATCTTTTAGGCCATTTCTTACTTTTCAACAAAACAGCAATGAGCATCTTCACACATAGTGCCTTCAACCTTTTAATTAGTTCTTAGTGCTAAATTCTTGTAAGTCAAACTGAGGCAAGGAATTTTTAAATAGAAATGGGAAGTAGTGTAGCATATGTACCTAAATTACTCACAGTACGTATACAAGTGACTAGCAAAATTTTGAAAAAGACATCCTTATGTCCGTATCTAGACTCTTTCAACAATGGTTGAACACTGTGAACATTCTCTTGTTCTTAAATATTTATACTTAAGAATACATCAGAGGAATATTTACATATTAATACATAAAGTGCTTCCTCATTCTTTACAGCTTAAATGGTGGCCTATAGGTAGGTACACCACAACCTCACCAGTAAGTCCCCAACTGAAAAATACTTAGGCTGTTTCTAATCTTTATCACAAACAATGCTGCAGTAAATAGTTTTGTACATACATTATTCTGCGAGTGTGAAAGGCAATATTTTAATCAACTCCAAAAGTTCATATCTATGTAATATTCTAATAGTCATCTATTAATTTTTTTCTAGATAAAGATACAGGTGTCAGAATAGTATAGACATAAAAACTTTCAAATGTTAGAAAACATCCAGTCAGTCCTTGGATCTAAGGGGGGAAAAGGGTAGTAAATTTAAAAAGTTGGAAAATATTAATAAGCAGTAAATAAATGCATTTAACTAAAAGGTAACAAAATAATTTAAAAGAATGCCTAAGCATTTAAAAGGAATTCTCACATTTGTAGTTTGACATCCTATGGCATACTTATGATCCTTATTCAGCTATGATTTCTTTCTTTCCAAAAGAATAAAGCTTCAAGTCTAAAATTGATCTACATAGGACAAATCCTCAATAAATATTAAGTAACCAATAATCACTTTCAGAAACCTGAAAATGTCCAGTCTGTCCTATATACATTTCATACTACAGACCAGAGAAGAGAAGGACTGTAAGACATCTGAGAAAGCAGAAGAGGTTCCAATCATGATTTATGGAGGATGTGTTTTGTTGCTGCTGATACCACACCACCATTTTGGAGGTCTAAAGTCTTTTTTTCTTTTTAAAATATATTCAACAGATGACCCATAATATTTTTACATTCTGAGCTTTCCACAAGAAATCACTTTCAACAAAACCCAAATTTAAAAAATACAAAATGAGGGTTTGAAAGAACAAAAATCAACCAATGTTAAATGATACCAACCATTTCACACAGTCTGTATGACCCAGATAGTGTCGTTGAGTTCTCTCCTCATAATTAAATAGTACTACCACTGATGCAATGAAATAAACTATTTCCCCGGTCGGAAGAAGGTAAACATTAGCTCTACAGTCCTTTCCTCGATAACCATATCTTAATAGAAAAAGAGTCAAGGTTTTAAATAAACACAGTTTTCAAGGTGTTAACAGATTTTTCATGTATACTTATAGAATTAGGAAGGTACCATGAAGAAAACTGAACTAGAACTAGAAAACTCATGTCCTGGATGGGCAGAGTGACTCACACCTGTAATCCTAGCCCTTCAGGAGGCCAAGGTGGGAGGATCACTTCAGCTCGGGAGTTTTTGAGACTAGTGTGGGCAATAGTGAGACCCCATCTGGACAGAAAATAAAAAAAAAATTAGCCAGGTATGGTGGCCCATGCCTGTAGTCCCAGCTACTTGGGAGGCTAAAGTGGGAGAATCACTTGAGCCCAGGAGGTCAGGTCAAGGCTGCAGTGAGCAAGATCGTGCCACTGCACTCCAGCCTGGGCCACAGAGACACTGTCGCCACCCGCCCCCACCACCTGCCCAAGAAAAGGAAAACTCATATCCTGCCATTAGCCCTAGTGCAACCTAACTCTTTTAATATGTTTAAATCTTAGCTTCCTCATTTACCAGACAAATATATATTAAGATCCTAATGTGTATCAAGCATAAAGGTGAATATTCAGTTCTGAACAAAAAAATGTAGGGCCTGTCTCTGGAGCTTATCCTCTGGCAAAGAAAACAAATAATCACCAAATATAAAACTACAAATTATGGGAAAAAACCAAAAAACGGACTGCTAGGAGAAAGCCTAAATGGAAGACCTAATTTAGGTAGAGAGAAAAAGAGAGAGAAGGGAGGGACCAAAAGAAGGCCTATCTGGAAAAGGGATATTTATGCTGGACCTACATGATAAATAAGGAATAGCCAGGAACAGTTTGGTAAGCAGAATGTTTGTTAAAAATATGTTGTACAGAATTAAAGGATTGGTGAGTGTGTCCAAGCTGATACCGGCCTAAGGAGGGAATAATGCAAGGGATGTGGGAGGAAGTATAGGAGAATGGAGGCAGACAATGGAGTTCAAACTACTAGTTCTTTTTTGTTTCACTGAGTTTCTTGGAGGTTCTAAGAGAAGTGAAAATTTCTAGGTGAAATTAGGAAAACTCTCCTTTAACAGTTAGTCATTTAAAAAAAAGTCTGGCTGAAAAGTTAATTCTGAATTAGAATCAGCCTTGTTAATGTGAGGTTACAAAATGCTTAACTGATGTTTTCTTATTTAATTCCTACAGCAGTCCCTGTGAGGTATGGGTTATTAACCCCCTTTATAAGTAAAGAAAGTTAAGGTTCACAGGGAGTAAGTGGCAGGGCCAAAACTCAAACACTAGTCTTCCAATTCCAGTCTAGTGCCTTTTCTAGCATACCACAAGTACCTGCCACGATGTTCGCAAAATATTGTTTGTCCTTTCCAAAGATATAAACTTTGATGGCTTTAAATTGCTAACAGCAAAGAATTAGAGATAATATCTCCCTTTTTTGTTTGTTTTTTGAGACAGAGTCTTCCCCTGTCGCCCAGGCTGGAGTGCAATGGCCTGATAATTGGCTCACTGCAACCTCCACCTCCCGGGTTTAAGTGATTCTCCTGCCTCAGCCTTCCGAGTAGCTGGGATTACAGGTGTGTGCCACCACGCCTGGCTAATTTTTTGTTTTTATCTTTAGTAGAGACAGGGTTTCACAAAGTTGGCCAGACTGGTCTTGAACTCCTGACCCTGTGATCCGCCTGCCTCAGCCTCCCAAAGTGCTGTGATTACCAGCGTGAGCCACCGCGCCTGGCCTGATGTTTCCTTTAAGTAGCTGTTACTTTTTTTTTTTTTTTTGTATAAAGACAATTTTGACAGAGAATAGGTTAAGTAATTTGTCAAACTAGAGACAAAGCAAATGAATTTGCTGTCATGGTAGAGAAGGATACGCCCACTCCAGTTTGAGCTTCTCAGAAGGCAGTTCTGTTCTGATGTCATCATAGTTGTCAACATCAGAAGGAATGAACATGGTAATTGGCCGACCGCGCATAAACATTTTAATATATTCTCCTTCTGTTGAAATACAAGACAAAAGTTAAATCATACATATTTTCTGTATAGTCATACAAAAGTGGATTATTAATGCGATACAATAAAAACAAGACAAAAATGACTACTTCAGAGTTTTAGCCTCATTATATACAATTGTTTTTGTTATATGGTAGTCCTGTATCCATGGGGGATTGATTTTAGGAACACCTTCCTCAGATACCAAAATCCATGGATGCTCAATTTCCTGACACAAAATGGTATTTGCATATAACCTGTATATTTTAAATCATCTCTAGATTACTCATAATACGATGTGAATGCTACGTAAATAGTTGTTATACTGTATTGTTCAGAAAAGAATGACAACAGTCTGCATATATTCAGTATAACAGACAATCTTTTTCCCCAAATATTTTCCGCCCATGGTTGGCTGAATCTGTGGATGCAGAACCCATGGATACAGAGCGCCAACTACATTATACAGCATATAGAAAACAAAGTGATACTATAAAGTCCTAGTCCAAAACATCGTAGGGGAAAAAAAAAACCAATGGCCATCTCCTTAACTGAGAATAATTTTTTCAGAATTAAAATATAATTTATCTAAGTTGACACATTTCTACAAGAAGGCCAGGAAGGCTGAGTAGAAAAACACAAAAGAAAATTTTGTGACAACAGTTTTCCTAACACTTGAAAAGAAGAGTGAGATTATTTGAATAGACAACAACCATGTCTACCACACTACTGGATGAACCTACAGATGTTAAATGGCGTAAGTTTTTCTTATGCCAGGAAACAATCAACAATAAAAAGGCCACCTACAGGAGAAAATATTTGCAAGCCATATATCTAATAAAGGGTTAATCTCAAAAATATATAAGGAACTCAATAGTTAAATAACTGACTTTAAAATGGACTAAGGACATTTTTTCTTTTGTCTTTTCTCCAAAGACATAAAAACGGCCAACAGGTATATAAAAAACTGTTCAACATCACTAATCATCAGAGAAATGCAGATCACAATCACAATGAAATATTACCTTATACCTGTCGAATGGCTATTAATAATAATAATAATAATAATAAAAAGACAGCTAGGTGCAGTGGCTCATGCCTGTAATCTCAGCACTTTGGGAGGTCGAGATGGGCAGATCATGAGGTCAGGAGATCGAGACCATCCTGGCTAACACAGTGAAACCCCGTCTCCACTAAAAATACAAAACATTAGCTGGGTGTGGTGGCGGCCGGCCTGTAGTCCCAGCTACTCGGGAGGCTGAGGCAGGAGAATGGAGTGAAACGGGGAGGTGGAGCTTGCAGTGAGCTGAGACCACGCAACTGCACTCCAGCCTGGGAGACAGAGCGAGACTCTGTCTCAAAAAAAAAAAAGGCATCAAGTATTGATGAGGACGTGGAGAAACTTGAACACTTGTACACTGCTGGTAGGAATGCAAAATGGTATAGTCACTATGGAAAGTAGGATGAAGGTTCCTCAAAAAGTTAAAAACACAACTACCACATGATGCTGCAATCCCACTACTGGGTATTTTTTAGAAGAACTGAAATCAGTATCTTGAAGATATATCAGTATTCTCAGGTTCACAGTAGCGCTGTTCACAATAGCCAAGATGTGGAAACAACCTAAACTCAACTGAATAATGAAAATGTGGCTCATGTATACATACACACACACACACACACACACACACATATATATAAAATCTCGCAATAACAGAAAACAAAAACATGACCTCAAGATTTCAAATGTCATACTCCGAGATTTTCAAGACAGTGCTAAGAAACAGTTTTCTTATTGGCAGGATAGGTGTCTTGTATTTACATAAACCAATAGGTGTTTATAAGAACTGCAACAGTCTAAAACTAAAATGTTAAAAAACACAAGTCTAGAATCAAATCCATATTATACATCTTTTTTTTTCTTTATTTTTTTTTTAAATTTATTTATTATTATTATACTTTAAGTTGTAGGGTACATGTGCATAACGTGCAGGTTTGTTACATATGTATACTTGTGCCATGTTGCTGTGCTGCACCCATTTTTTTTTTTTTTTTAAAAGAGCGTTTCACTCTTGTTGCCCAGGCTGGAGTGCAATGGCGCCATCTTGGCTCACTGTAACATCCGCCTCCCGGGTTCAAGCAATTCTCCTGCCTCAGCCTCCCAAGTAGCTGGGATTATAGGCATGTGCCACCATGCCTGGCTTTTTTTTTTTTTTTGTATTTTTAGTAGAGACGGAGTGTCATCATGTTGGTCAGGCTGGTCTTGAACTCGTGACCTCAGGTGATCCGCCCGCCTCAGCCTCCCAAAGTGCTGGGATTACAGGCATGAACCACCGTGCCTGGGCAACATTACACATATTTTACAAAAGAAAATACTTCATGCAACTGATGGAATTTTTTCTTTTTTTCGAGATGGAGTCTCGTTCTGTCACCCAGGCCTGGAGTGCAGTCGCACGAGCTTGGCTCACTGCAAACTCTGCCACTGGGTTCAAGTGATTCTCCCCACTCAGCCTCCCAAGTAGCTGGGATTACAGGCACGCGCCACCACAACCGGCTCATTTTTGCACTTTTAGTAGACATGGGGTTTCACCACGTTGGCCAGATTGGTCTCAAACTTCTGACCTCAAGTGATCTGCGCCCCCTCGGCCTCCCAAAGTGCTGGGATTACTGGTGTGAGCCACCGTACCCAGCCACAATTGTTTCTTACTCCTTTGAAAACAAAAAACCAAAAAAACCCCACTTAACCCTGCCTCTAGCATCCCAGTGACCTCCATATAACAGGTTTAATAATATTGATGGTGATTGTGAAATGGTTACAGAAGGACCTAAAGGAGAGACAAAGACTTAGTACAGATACATGGGAAATGTCTAGCACTTGCCAACTTGTCTGGCATGATATGAAAATAGCATTAGAACCAGACTGAAAATGTGATCAACAACCAGAGGCTGATACAACCTTAGGATCTCTAATAATGACTTAAACGACCTAAGGAGAAGAGTATGTAATAATGCAGTAGTTTATATAATGCAAACCATGAAGAGGAAGGAAAGATAAATTACTTCTTGAATATCTGCAAGTATTTTTTCAATCAGATTAAAAGGTTGTGCTTGGGCTGGGCATGGTGGTTCATGCCTGTAATCCCAGCACTTTGGAAGGCTAAAGCAGGCAGATCACAAGGTCAGGAGTTTGAGACTAGCCTGGCCAACATGGTAAAACCCCGTCTCTACTAAAAATACAAAAATTAGCCGGGTGTGGTGGCACATGTCTGTAATCCCAGCTACTCGGGAAGCTGAGGCAGGAGAATCACTTAAACCCAGGAGGCGGAGGTTGCAGTGAGCCGAGATCATGCTACTGCACTCCAGCCTGGAGACAGAGCGAGACTCCGTCTCAAAAGAAAAAAAAAAAAAAAAAAAAAAAAAGGTTGTGCTTGTTATGGGTGAGAAGTTCAAGTTATTTTTATTGTTATTACTCAGTGTAGCTGGCCTCAGAGTTTGATCTAAGAACAGGCTAAGGCCTCCCACACTATGGTTTTAACACCACATGATGTATGTCTTCATTACTTCCGAATCTAAGAGTGGGCTGTTTCCTGATGATTTTTAGCACAGCTGAAATTTGATAAGAAAATGACCAGCTGTAAATATTCCCTACTTCTGCAGTCATCCTGATCTGTATATCCTTGTTCTTATTTGTATAGTTTACTCTTTTCAAGTGTCAACTTGTTATATAACTTTTCCTCTAGTTTTTAAGATTACAAACTTTTTGAAGGCAGATATCTCATCCTTTGGAATTTACTCCAGGATCTTTGATCAGAGATGTACATCATAAATGTGTTCTGAATAAAAAAGACATTTAATAGATGCTTCTATCACCACTTAGAAAGGAGCGTAGGTACAGCAAAGGGGGAGGGTTAGTCATAGTATCAAGGAAAAAAAAAAGTCTCCTTTTTGAACAGGCACAGCTGAGAATACCATATTGGTTATCAAATGTCAAGCAGCCTAAGAAACCAAGTAGAAAAGTAAAGGCATGATCTAGTGCTTCTAACTTTTCTGATATGATATAAAAATGGCAATGCATATTAGGATGACAATGCTTTCACTATCTATAAATTGGTCATATATGTTAGAGATCAAGTATATAACCTAAGCACTTCAGACAATTTCCGGCAATACATTATAGTGAAAACAGCATGAGCTTTGGAAAAGTCTATGACTTGAATCTTAGCTTCATGCTTTGTTAGCTGCAAGACTGGCTTCATTTTCTCAATACATAAAGTGGTAATACTACCTACTGTTTGGAATTATAAGTGATTAAATAAGATATCACACTGCAAAGCATAATATGAGGTTCTTGACAAACATTTATCCTTCTGCCTTTGAAAGGGATTTATGACCACTCTAAACACTGGTTAGCAATTGTTTATGATTTAGTACCCTATAGTATCTTTTCCTAAGCTTTAAAGTGACTGTCCACAGAACAGCAAGTATAAGTAAATAAACTAGAATTCTGCTGAGTCTATTATGTACACTTAAAAACAACACAAATTCATTTGCAGGAAATGAAACTGAGAGAAGTGGGAGAGTGCATGATGACTGAGGGTGGGGACACAGTATTCAAATACCCCATACTCCATCTCAGGGAGGGAGCAGCAAGGCCACTCCATGAAGAATGTGGGCCCAGTGTTACTAAGTCTTCTTATTTTTCAAAAGAAATAGAAAATCTATAATTTATTGTGAAATCTGCCAATTTAAAAATGTTCCCTCCTCTACCAAAAAAAGGGAGAACACCATATGAAAACATACCTGTGGCCTGCACACAACACCAGTTTGCAACCTCTTCTTTTAAGACACTCTTTACCTTGGGCATTAGGTAAAATACATAGATGAAGAAGACCCTCTTTTTTCCCCAGTCATTGTCAAATTCTCACTGCAAACTTTTTCCTGAGATTCTCAGGCTTCTTGATCTTACAATCATAAAACTTACAGTCAGTATGTATTATCCCAATGCT